GGATCTCTTCCAATCAGTTGGCTAGGTAACTGTCTTCCAAATTTCTTGGCATGATGAGTGAGCACCTCCAGTGCTGCATCAGTTTGTTGAAAGATTTCAATTTGTATTTTGTCAATTTTGGGAGCCCTGTTTTTCCTTCAGTACTATCAGTTCTTGATCATATACTACTTCTTGAAATGATTGAATGTCAACAAATTCTTTGTATTCTATATATGATTCTATATATTCCTCCCATTTCCTTTTGATAATTTCTGTGCCATTCAATATTTTGTCCATTTTGTTGTTGCTAAGTGCCATCGAATCAGTTCAAACTCATAGCGACCATGTATAGGGTTTCTGAGGAGAAGCTGGGGGGTTTGAACTGCCTACCTTGTGGTTTCCAGTCCAATGCTGATTCTACAGTGCCACACCATAGAATCCTTCAATATTGCAAGTCATGACTTGAATTATTTTCTTCAGTTCTTTCAGATTAACAAATGGTGAGCGTGTTCTTCCTTTTTGATCTGTAACTTCAGTTCTTTGCACATTTCATTATGATATTTAACTTTGTCTTCTCAAGCTGCCTTTGAAATTTTCTGTTTCAGCTTTTCCACTTCCTCATTTCTTCCATTCTTTTTAGCTTCTCTATGAGTAAGATCTTATTTTGAAGTACAGCGTTGTCTATGATAGAGTAATATCCATATAGCTACAAGAAATACCAGTTAATACCACTATTATTCAAAATTATGCACCAACAACTAAAGCCAGTGATGATGAAATTGAAGAGTTCTACCAACTTCTTCAATCTGAAATTGATCAAACATGCATTCAAGATGTACTGATAATTACTGGTGATTGGAATGCAAAAGTTGGAAACAAAGAAGAAGGATCAGTAGTTGGAAAATATGGCCTTGGTGATAGAAATGATGCTGGAGATCGCATGACAGAATTTTCCAAGACCAATGATTTGTTCACTGCAAATTCCTTTTTCAAACAATATAAAAGACAACTATACACATGGACCTCACCAGATGAAATACACCAAAATCAAATTGACTACATCTATGGAAAGAAATAGTAGAAAAGCTCCATATCAACAGCCAAAACAAGGCCAGGGACAGACTCTGGAACAGACCATCAATTGCTCACATGCAAGTTCAGGTTGAAGCTGAAGAAAATTAAAACAAGTCCATGAGAGCTAAAATATGTCCTGGAACACTTCCCACATGAATTTAGAGATCATTTCAAGAACACATTTGATGTATTAGACGACAATGACCAAAAAACAGAGAGTTATGGGATGACATCAAGAACATCATACAGGAAGAAAGCAAAAGCTCATTAAAAAGACAAAGAAGAAAGAAAGACCAAAATGGATGTTGGAAGAGACTCTGAAACTTGCTCTCCAACGTAGAGATGGTCTTTGGCCATTAGTGTCTACATCGTCAAATCTATTCTTAGCAGTCCAGCATTTAATCATTGAATTACCAAGACTCTTTGTCAGCCACAGTAGAGTAGCTTAATTTATATTGCAAAATAATAATAATTAATGAAACAGGACAAAATCTAAACTGGTTCCCACTGTCTTAGAGTAACTTCCCAAAATTCAAGCATTGGAATTTAGGGGAATGGTAGAGTAATAGCCACTGTAGAATTATGCAGATTATATTTTTACAATAACATAAAGCTCTAGGCTTGCTCAGGCCTAATTTATAAATCCCAAAGTTAAACGATTCAATTTATGCCCTCATCAATCCAATTTTCTCTGGGAATATAATTAAAGTTAACTCATTGAACATAAACCCAAATACATTAGAATTCTAAGATTTGGTTGTTGTTGTTTTTTTAATATATATGCAGAGAGAGGGGGACAAAATAAAATTGGTTTTAACCACAAAATATATCCATGATTATTGGCAGAAAGTGGAAAATAACCATAGATAAAATCTAGTCTGGTTGGGGTATAGGGACATCATGGAACATCGAGACAAAAACCTCAATTCACAAACAAATGCTAAATCTTAACAGAAAATATCAAAATCAGTGAATGTAAGGTTTTGGGTTTTTTTTTCCTTTTTCTATAGCCACATCATAAAACCCACACTAAGCCCACTGTCATGGAATTAATTCTGACTCATAAGTACCTTGTATAGGGTTTC